AAAATTACCAAATAACTAAATTTTTTAGTTTTGTGTTATTTCAAGGAAAATATATAGATGTCTTTTGTTTTGAATTATAATATATGAAGTATTGATTGTAGCATAATGGTTAAAAGAATCATTTCATCCTAGAAGGGTTAACTCATGACCTTTTGTAAAATTGTATAGAATTCAATTTCTCTGTAACTAAAAGTAGCGCTTAATTCTAATTAATTACGAGCATTTTTATTTCTTTCTTGTTTTTATAATTCTAACTCAGCAAATTCTAACTCAGCAATACCGTGTAATTATTATTTTATTTTATTTTTTAGTCACAGTACCAATTGCAAATGCGACAAAAGCGACAGGAAAAGAAAAAGCTGTGAAGAAGAAAGCAACATGGAAGGAACGGACTAAAGCACTCCTTTCAAAGGAACTAAAAAATGAATATAAACGATACGGTGAATTGATGAAACGAAATACAGCACAGTGTAATTTGATTAGGTAAGTATACTTCATTACAAGTTATATGTTCACTTATATCATTATCGTAGATGATATCCCATAAATGTTCGCTGAGTATTCATTGTGTCTGAGGGAAATAACGTCATTCTTTGGACTAATTACATAAACCTAGTCATTGCTATGGAATAATATAAAATAAAATCACTTCTTGAAATTCTTTCTTGTTTTTCATAAACACATATGGCGGAAGTAACATTGTATTCGACCTTTTTGCTATTTCCGATAACTGTTCATGTAGTACCTTCGATTTCATTATTCCTTCTGCAGGTATGCACTCAAAGATGATTATAGAAATTTGGTTGCTTACACACATGCTTACCTTGATTCCCTTAGCGAAAAGTCGCTTGCGGATCGGGAAGATGATGAGGTATTTTCTTCGTTTCATTGAATGTTACATTTGTTGGTTCAGATTTTCCAAGCTTTGTTTGATTTCGAAGTTCCTGTTTTTCAATTATCCGTAATAATAATTAGGATTTAAAGTTTCGCACTTTTATTGTTTCCGTTTCAGATCTTCAGTGTTGCACTGCTGCTGGTTGCTCGTCAGTATAGTCATTATTCAAAAAATCAATCATTAGCGAACTCACGGGAACCTCTACAGCTGTTTTTCTCATTAGCAAATTTAATGGAGCAAATGCCAATACAAGGAGATGATACAAAAGCAGCTTGGATACTTCTTCTGGATCGTTTTGAAAGGTGGATTGAAATTCGGACAATTGATGGAAAGTCGAATGATATTGATGATGTGCACATTGAACTGAGACGTAAATTAACTTCCCAGGTTTATTTTTTGACGAATATATTGAGTGAAATGTATAATGTTGGGATATCTTAAGTTAGCTTACCTCAAGTGAAAGACAGATTTTCGAAGTATTTATCACGATGCATTCAGGCTGGATTAGGTTCCTTACCGCGATTTTACAATCGATTTTTGTTTACTGATGATGATCAACTGGTGATCCGTTTTCGAGAACGTGAACTTTTTGGGAAAAATGTCGTCTATAGGGATGAAGAGAAGGAATGGCCGTATGATAAGGTAAAAAGTCTTGAGATTTTCTCCATGAAATGTTGGAAGTTATAAAAATAGGTATGAAAATAAATCACAACCTCCTTCTTATTTAATACGTTTCTGATGTCCTTTGTTATGAGTCACAGTAGAGGTCGGCCGCGGAAGTGATTTTTCTTCAGGACCTCAAGCTTGTCAGTGGTCTGCATGAGCCCGTTTCGAAAGATGAATATCATGGTTCGCCATATTCTAATATCTCTTTTGCAAAGGTATTTTTTTTTAAATGAAACTAAATACTGATCCACGTTTTTCCTTAGTGAATTAAACTGCCGTTTAAGGACCAGTACGCAGAGAAATTTGTTGAGCAACTGCAAAGAGAAGCCGATCGTTACTTATTTATAAGAAATTTTAATCGGAAATCGAGTGAAATCCCGGTAGAAGGTTTGATTAAAGAATGGAACTGGTACCAAAGTATATTGAAATGTTTGACGTCACATGTTGAAGAATTACGCCAATATCCTTGTAAGTTGTATAATTTATTGTTCGTAGCTATACGCGGAGAAATCGCGCTGATTGCCATCGACTTCGATGTTTTTTGCGTAAGTACGACTTTGCAGTGAAGGATTTCATGAGCGTTGTGGATTTGAAAATTTGCACCTCACTTATGCTATCAACAATAATGTCAATATGTGCCCAAGGTGAACAATTAATCCCTGCAACCACATTTCGATACTGTTTAGCAAATCCAATTTTGAACATCATTGGTCAAATGTTTCAACAAAAAGTGTCAAAAACCATAACTAAGGTAAGTATCCGTTATTTATCAGGGCAGCTGAGTAAAGCCTTTGTAAGCTTTTGTAAATGGATTTTGCTTTTTTTGTAAGCTTTTTTTTTGTAAGCATTTTGTAAGCTTTTGTAAATGGATTTTGTTTTTTATGGATTTTGCTGATCAGTTCTTTTTTTCTTTTTTTTGTATTATTGCAGATGCAAAACGAAATTTTCTCAGATTACGTCGAATACTTTCTGAATGCAGAAGTTTCACGACAGCACACTGTACGTGAATGGTGGATGTACTGTGCTTCTCAAATGCACATAAGTCCCCAACTGAAATTCCCATGCGCTGATTTTGGATCGGGAATACGTGAACAGCTTGGCTCGTTCTTAATGTCTGTAGTTTTGGAAGCATGCAAATTGCATGTCGAAGCTGGTATATGACATTTAAAATTTAGTAGAAGAAATTGAAAAAGGATAGAATTATTTCCAAAGGAAAAAAGTCAATAGTTTTTTTTATTGAAAAGATTGATACAGTGTCATTTTTCAGGCAGTCGTGGAAATTCTATATGTATTCCAGTATTTTCCCATAAAGATGTTGTCAATGAAGAAAGTTCTCTTGATGGAGACGTTTTGTGCGTAACGAAAATGATAAAAATATGTAATGCAATGATGGAGGTTGTGAGCAAGCATCAATTTGAATGGATGGTTTTTCCTACTGATTCATTACCTATGGAAGTTAGTTTATCAGTCTTATGACATCTTGATTTCTAGGCCATTCATGTAAATAAAATATTTTGCATAATATATCAATTCATATAAATTTATTAAAGTGTTTGTCCCAACTTCATCCTACGCTGAAATGATGTGAGCAATGTATTTTGCCAAACTAAGTATATTAATTGTTATTAGATCAACCATCTTGCTAACTTTTGACCTTCTGGCGTTTTTGTATTCTGATGTTTGTTGCTTATACTTTCTTAACTTCTTTCTAAAGTTTTAAAAAATATATTGGGGAAAAAGATTAAAAAGTGGAGCACAACCTTTGGTCTCCGCCGTTCGTAATAATAGGCAAGAGTGTTATTATTTTTAACCCGAGATAATTTCTTTTCGAATTTATGTCCTTTATTTCGTGCGTTCAAATCACAACAGGTACCTCCTCGGCCGTGGTTGGATTCTGGAGAAGGTGGGCCGTATTACGGGTCTCCCTTCAATGTGTTAAGAGCACATCCCGATTATTCGACGATCAACGTGAATTATGAAATGAAGAAACGGTTGAAATCACGGTGAATAAATTTTTAATTGTTTTGTAAGCTTTCGAGTTCTATTTTATCTGGCAATTATATCAATTATCTAAAAACTATTCTAGTAAACAAGCTCGGCCTGTTTTCGATGCGCTGAATGATTTGGGTGTTACGCCGTGGAAAATAAATGGACCTGTTCTTGATGTGGCTCTGAGGGTAAGACTTTCTGATTTTGACTGATATACCGTGTCTTTTTGCCGTTGAGCTGCTTTATATTCTAACATTTTTTTTGCACTCGTTATTCTAGGCTTCAGGTTTTTGAAATGGCTCAACTGGAAGCAGATGAGAAGTTTTTGGAGAAATTATCGATACCAATTCATCCGAGTCGAGTTTCGATACCAGATTACGTAGCTAAATTCGGGAATATGGAAGTAGATAAGTTGCCGGTAAATGAGTGGCGAGAGTATTCAAAAGCGAAATATGAAGCTATGAAAAAAAGGTTTTTTATCTAAAGAAGTGCTATAAGTCCATGAGAATTTAATGTGATTCGAAGAAATTTTAATTCCAAAAATTAAAACTCGACGTTGTATATTTGTTTAAGGAAGTGTTCTTTTTACGCTAAATAATCATACCTAAGCTACGCTATATCTCTCAATTATGCGACAATTTTAAACTACATTTCTTTGTTTTTCTGATGTACAAATCAGCTAGAATTCAGAATGAAAAAAAAACAAAGTGAAAAAAAGGCAAAATTTATAAGAAAAAAGATGCAGGTATTAAACTTCTGATCAGTGTTAATTTTCAGAAACGAGTTAAATTCATTATGGTGTTGGTTGCTTTATCGTTTGACCATGGCAAATCATTTTAAAGAAAGTGTTCTTTTCTTTCCGCATAGTATGGATTTTCGGGGGCGTGTATATCCGATAACTCCATATTTGAATCATATGGGGGACGATTTAAATCGGTCATTGTTGGTCTTTGCGGAAGGTACATTTCTGTCATGAGACTGTGACATCTGTAGTGAATATGGCGTTAACTGGATAGAAAACATAAAACATAAGGATTCATGTGATAGAGATGAGACTGGTAAACTTTAGGCCGACCGTTAGGTGATGATGGTTTGCGATGGCTGAAACTTCATTGTATAAATTTGACGGGCATTTTAAAGAAAGAATCGAATTTCACCCGTGCTATATATGCTGATGAAATGCTGCCGAAAATGTTGGAAAGTGCGAACAGTCCCTTATCAGGTAATCGTAATACCGGTAATATCGTAGATTTATTTTTTATATTTTGGAAATTGGAAATTTGATTCATGGTTATCATTTAGGTGAAATGTGGTGGACGAAATCAGAAGAACCATGGCAGACTTTATCTGCATGTATGGAAATTAGAAATGCTTTACAAACTGGTAAGTTTTTTTACTGAAACCTAACGGGTACACGTACTACCCGTGCCATCATCGTTGGTGTAATTTAGAATGGTTGTTGGATTTATGTTTGACATATTCAACAAATATCACTTTTTTGATAAACTTACAGTTATATGGAATAAATGCTTCATTCATTATTCTTAATCTAAGCCCACCATACCATCCTTTTTTGATTTACCTGTCTTATTAATTTTACGATTTCGATGTTTTCGGGATAGTATGGGAGGATGCTGATCCTTTACGAATGGAATATGATTTGTGAGAAGCATATTACTTTTTGACTGATTAACGTCTGAATTCACACTTTGTAGAGCGAGGATTATTTTTTGATATTTTATCCATCATATGTTCCATTCTTTGTATATTCCATTACTGCATTGAAGGTTTCAAGTTGTTCATCTATTTTTATACTTTGCAGGTGATCCGGTGACTTTCATTAGTCATTTACCGGTATATCAGGATGGTTCATGCAATGGTTTGCAACATTATGCAGCACTGGGTAGAGATCAAGAAGGTGGAATGGAGGTGAATTTAGTACCGGCTGAAAAACCATCTGATGTTTATTCCAGTGTTGCTGTTAGGTGTGCTATTTTTACTTTTTAGGGATTTTAATTAAGCTTGACATTTATTAGTACGATAGATACTATGATAGTATGATAGATAAGTTGATAAATGCATTTTAGGGTAGAACAGAAACGTTTAGAGGATGAGAAGAGTCCCGATTCTGAAGCTCACGATTTGGCTTTGTCACTGCGTACCATTATGCCAGATCCTGTTTCCAGAAAGGTGTGTAAATCAAGATTTTGTGGGATTTACTAGAACTTGACAGAGATGTCTGTAAATGAGTCTTTTTGCATAATGACACTGTTCAGGTGATAAAACAAACAGTAATGACCACTGTTTATGGCGTAACAATGAATGGTGCACGAAGACAAATTGAAAGGCAGCTGAAAGCGATCGGAATAGATTCGAACGAAGTATTGCATTTTAGTCTATCTGTTCAACTGGGAAATAATTTAAAACATCGTTGTATTATCTATTTTAAAGAAAAAAGTAAATAAATCTTGTCGGATTCCATCACTTTTTGCTGTTTTTTCCTTTTTTGGAACAATATGTGACTCTACTTATCTGCTTTTTAGCGCATGAAATACGCAACCTATTTGGCAGATAGAACATTTCGAAGTCTAAACGACGCCTTCACTAGTTCAATGTAAGATATTTCCATTAAGCCCTTTTCACGTAGAGAAAAATTTTTTCTATTGATTTTCCTCATTTCTCGTTATACTTTAAATAGAATAGCTGTCGGTTATTTTTCCACTGTTATTTCAGGAAAATGAAAGATTGGTTTCGCGATTGTGCGGAAGCAATTGTAAAGTTGATGCATACAGTGGAATGGATTACACCTCTTGGTTTACCCGTATATCAACCTTATTTAGAGACTATAATGGAAGAAAATAAAGTTTACCGACTGCCTAAATCAATTAAACAGGTCTGTCTATCATTTTATTTCGTTAACACACGGTCCGTAAACTTTTTTTCCCTTTTTTTTGAACAGTGGGACAGGTTGACTGGTAGTCTCATGAATATGTGCTTGAATAAGTCTCTTACAAGAAAGAAATGCTAAAGTGTTTGGACAAAGTCTGGAATCGTTTTTATTTGTAGAAACCTCATCTTTTCTCAATAAATTACCTTGTAGGTAAACGCATTTCCTCCTAATTTCGTGCATTCTCTGGATTCAACCCATATGATGTTAACTGCTTTATATTGCCGACGATTGGGCATTACGTTTGCAGCGGTGCATGACTGCTATTGGACCCATGCTTGTGAAGTGGACCAGATGAATAGGATATGTCGGGAACAATTCGTGCAGTTGCACAGCGAGCCATTAGTAAAGCAGTGCGCAGAGGTAAGATCTGAAATGATGTACTCTCCTTGTAGTTTATTTCTTCTTTTTTTTTCTTGCACAGACTACAGGTACAGTTCACTTCTTTTTTTTTTTCAGTTTTTTCGTCAGAAATACTTGCCGAATTGGTTACGTACTGTTATGTTGGCCGAAGAATTCCAAGAACTGCGGAAAATATTCACACCAAAAGTTCGACAAGGTATGCTTGATCTGGATGCTGTACGAAAATCGACCTATTTCTTTTACTAGCTTAATCTAATGTTTGTTTCTGTTGAAATAATTAAAAAAGGAGAAGTGGTTGTTGTTGTGATAGAAGGCAAAGTGTAACGGAGAGACTATGAGATCATTATTTGCAAGGTTTAGATTTATATGGTAAGCGCGATACCATAATGTATTATGAAAAACAAGTTTCAATAATGTACGATTAGTAGAAGTAATAAGATTTGCCCGATTATCAACTCTCAGAGACTTTTGGAGAAAGGAGTTAGTATTGAGACAAAAATAGTCTGTCATTTCTTTTTTTTAAAATGCTGTTCTTGCCGACTCATTCCTCGTTATATATGTCAGCTTGTATATTTATGACGAATGAATTTCATAGGAATAAATTTTCTAGTCTACAACACTAGCATCTTGACAGTTGGCTTCCTCATTGTGTCCTGAGTCCAAGTAGGGTTGACGACAAACGGATTCGGTTTTCTACTTGTTAATTTGTTTTTGTTATTCAATGATTTTCTTTTGCTTGATGTTGCTCAATGAATTTCTAAATTTCCAACTTCTGTTGTAGTGTGGTTTGGTGAAGTGTAAATAATAAACAAATAAGTAAATAAAATTATATATATGATAAAATGATCAAGGAATGTGATATGGTTAGACGGGCAGTTTCATTGTGTAACTTCATGACCAAAGTTGAAGGTTAACAATGAGGCTTAAATTTGACATGAAATCTACTGAAATGCGATACCTTCATTGATGTTGTCCTCATCTCAAAAAATCTGAACAGCCTCGAAATCTTTTAAATCTGATGTCGATCTTCAGAGATGTATAACCCTTAATGATGGAGACAAGGGGCAAAACTTGAATGCCGCGAAAGTTTGTTTTTGTTAATCTTTTCGGAATCTCTTCACACTCAGGATTTGTTCATCGATTTGGGTCCTTGAAGTGTTCCGTTTGATTCAGCCATAATGTTTGTTAGCTAGATGGATGATAGAATCAAGCATTTAGCCAATTTAAGGGAATTACATCTTTCGGCTCTGTAAATTCTTTCCCTATTATATCATCATAAATACTCCAATAGATAAGTGAAACTTATACCATAGAATGCATGGTCCTTATCCGATTTACGTGTAAATTACTAAATTATTGATGACAGGTTAATACAGGTGGTAGGAGATGTAGCATTTGTAGGTGGTAGCAAGAAGGTTATTGACTAAAAGTCCAGAAGAGCAAATACTCGCTCATGGATCGGAATTCTGGAACTGTCTTTTTCATTATGAGATTTTGCGTGATCTTCAAAAAGAATTTAAAAAGCAAGATAAGGAAGAGATACGGTATGCACGCATGTAATGTTACAGCGAATGAAGAAAGATGAATAAGCAACGTGAGAGTATACGTCGGATAGCTTTATCGATGTCAAACACAGATGAGAGCAAACGTAATCACAAGCAGGTAATACGTGAGTCGGAAGTTATTCCCGTATGTTGTAACTCGGTCTTCAATC